TTTTCTCCACTTAATATCATGTCATTAGCACAAATGCGATAAAGAGGATACACCATGTTCAAACTCATTTCAAGACAGACGAGGACCCAAAGGAAGAGAAATAAAACCTTCACAAACCCACCACTTGAACCCCAAAACCGAAACCAAAAAGAATTCGCGCTCCCTCACTCTTTCGACAGCCAACAATGGCGAACCTGAGGACGGCGATGGACTCAGCCTTCTGGGACTTGAACGTTTCTTCGCCTCAGACCCTTGAGGGCTCGGCCAAGGCCGTTCCCGGCGACCCCTTTCCTCTCGACGGTGCTCGAGCCAGCCGAGCCCTTAGGATTCAGCAACTCTTTCTTCTGGGTGTTATACCTTCCTACAACCCCAATTCTTACAGGACTTGGGTTCTTTCTCTCGCCAGTCCCTCTGCTCAGACCAGCTACCTCTAACTGGTACACGGCTACAACTTCTTTGCTTAGCTATTGCCTATTGGGTTTTCTCAAATTTATTTTATTTTTCGTTTAATGGATATTCTTTTTCGTTTTACGTGTTTCTGTTGATTGGTTTGTGGTTTGTATGGTTACTGAGAAAATGATGGGAAATGGGAGTGATTCATTTGTTGTTTGTTTGGTTGCCGGGAAAGTTTGGAGAGAAGAACAATTGAAATTGTTGTTATGGGGTTGAATTGGGTAAAGGAAAAAGGTTAGGAAAGATAATTTGTCTCCTGTTTCCTGAGAAATGAACCTTTTTTTTGTTCTCCAAATTCGTATTTTTGTAAACAATTTTTATGTTACTAATTGCTAAGGAGCCTCTGCTTCTAGGTTTGGTTTGTTCTTTGTTTGATATTTAGGAAGATGTTGGTATATTGTATAAACTTTGGGTTATTGGTGAATTACTTGATGTGAGAAAGAGAGATTGAGTGGAAAGCTTGACAGCCGAACAAAGCTTGTTTGCCTAGTTCTAGTGGTATAGCACATAAAGCATGAATTTTTTGTTGCCTTGTTATTTTACTGATTTGCAAGCGAGTTCTTATGTTTTTCGAGAGCATCAAAGCTTTATCAGGTTTATCAGAGCACTGGTTGGGATTATCCCTATGCTTAGACCAAAGTCATCTCACATTAGCATTCTTAGTTGTCCGACATACTAATTCCCTTGTTACATGATCTGCGTGAAAATAGGTGGCTTGGATTAATTGGGCAGTTCCGCCCGAAGAAACTCTTTTCTTGTATTAAAGCTGAAGTTACCAATGATGAGATGTGGTGAAGCGTGTCTTGGACAAGTCACTTTATTCGTTTGGATTATGCACACAGCTTCTTTCGTCTCCGTCCTAATCCATAAAGTTGAGCACAGAAGGACATGGTGAGAAAAAAGGACGCCGCAACAAATTGATGCTCTTTCATAAGGCACACATTTACTTTCTTGTTTTGACCTTTAATCAAATGTTTAAACAGTCAGAATTCCTTTTGTCCCTTGTTTGCCGGGTTTTTGAAGCTAGTTTGAGGGATTTATGGGTGTCAATTTCTTCATTTTTTTGCACAATTACTATGGCTAGGTGGATAATTTGTTTACTGATTGGAGTTGTTAGGTTTAAAGTTCTTTTTTGGGTTTGTTCATGCCAGGTTGTAGCATCATCCAACTGCGATTTTTTTCTTTCTTTCATATGACAAATTTCTCTTATAGGAATTGAAGTTAAAAATAAGTAATTATAGGGATGTATCACTTGAACTTTACCAGATTCTGTCAGCATGTATAATCTTAAAGTATTGTTTCCTAATTTATTAATTGTTGAAAAGTAGGGCCTTGTTTGGTCTCTAGGATTGGAACGGAATGGACAAACTGCTATATTGAGGGTATATTAAAGATAGGGGTGAATGATTTTTCATATTGAGGTGATTAGAAGGGGAATATGGAAAATAATCCCTTCTGATCCTTACCATTTTGGTGGATTGGAATGGAAAATAATCCATCTCCTACCTTCAAGTAAGCCACAATTTTTTCATTTCTTTTGTCAACATACCTTGAATATAGTGGGTTGTCCATTTCAAACCAATCTTAGAGACCAAATGAGGCCACAATTTTTTCATTTCTTTCCTGAACATACCTTGTATATAGGTTCGTATATATCAACATGCTTCAAAAATCTTAATTTACAAGTGTCTTCTGTTTACCACTTTTCTTTATAGGTTACATGACTTGATAACATTGCACAAATGCACTGCAGGGAACATAGATAAAATTGGAAAGTTTCAAGTCTATAAATTAAGAGCCATGTACTGACAAAGTTAATATCAGTACCTTTAACATTGCACATGTGCTGCCTAAGCTGTTTGAGTGAAAAAGTTCATGTCTGTACCTTTATTTCCTTTATTTATCTTCCTGTTTAAATTATGAGCCATGCATTAAATTTTCTCAACCTTTAAGGTGTTTGCAGCTTCCTTACCATGATATTACACTTGAGGCTGCATGGCCTGAACTGTTCGTTGACCATAAGGGAAAATACTGGGATGTGCCTGAGTCAATTTCCTTAGATATGTCATCACTTGTCTCCAAATCTGGATTGCGGTACCACATTGGTGTACATAAAAACAGTGGTCATCCCCAGGCAGTTAATTCCATAGATGATGAGGCACCTCCTTCTCTAATGCCTGGATTCTGCGCAAAGGCTGCCTTTTCTTATGAAAAAAGCCAAGATCTTTGGAGTCAAAATGAGACACGAAAAGACATCATGATACAGAAAGAAAAGGGTTTGTTTTGGCGGCCATCTTATGATTTGCGTCTTAAAGAACCTCATGCTGCATTATATGGAGTTTTTGGTAATTTAACACGTTACTCATATTTTCTGTGATAACTTGTATTATCTCGTTACAGTTTTTTGGAAGTTTCATACCAATACTCAGGTGTATATTATAATTTTTTAGTTTATACATTTGCATGTTTTTATACATGTATACATGTTTTGGTACCTCTTAGTTTCATTTATATTGTATGTGTGTAGTTTTCTACTTTAGTATATTAAAAGCCAGTAGACTTAAGGAGTATGTCACCTCCTTTCATGGTGTTCCGTGGTGGTAGGTGTGACTGCAGTAAAAGAAAATAATAGTAATAAAAATAATTCTAGAGACAAATTCTAACAGAGCAATTCAATATTTTTTTTGTGTTTACGAGTCCAGATCCGTTGCCGACAGTATGCAGTATCTTTAGGTTTTTACTTTAACTATTTCCTGATGTTTGCCCCAGGGAAGGCCAGATACGAAATTCTTTAATTGTCAAAATTAATCATTGTTAGTGATATAGTTCCCTTTCGCTTGCAAAATTAATTTGTAATGCCATTCTCACTTCTTCTGGTCAATGGTGGCATTACATTTTAGGTGGAGGCTGCACTGCCTGGTTTCAGGATGGGTACAACCCAGTGGCAGTTGATATGAGGGGAGACGAGGGCAATTCTTCGAGCAGTAAGAAGAGAAGTCCATTCAGTATTGATTTTTTCGGCTCTCTCTGCTATACTTTCCAGCACGTAAAACTTGGAGAGCTCTACGGTGATCTGACCTGGATTGATGCTCGCCTGGATATTTGTTCAGCGTCAGGTTTGGCTAAAAGGGTGATAATGGTTTGAAGAGTTCCTCAGCTAATAGTGCAAAAGATCCGATGTCCTCCCCTAGGATCAATCTAATCTTTCTGCAGCAGGTATTTCTATTTATTCCTTAACTTTTTAAATGTTTCACACCTTAAGTTGTAAGAGATATTTTAAATGCAGTTATGCACAATGTGTTACAAAACCTGCATCGTCCCCATCAAATCCTCAAAACAAATCTTCCTCAAAATATTCCATCTTCACCTCCAAAATACCCACAATGTTCAAAAACGTCAATCTGGGAAAGCTACGCGCTGTGCCTTCTTTTCTTCGCCGCGGTTAAACGACTTGGTAGAAAAATCTGAAATTTTGGTACAATCATCTTGAAAGACTCACGACCATCCTTCAATTGAAATCTCTAAAATTCATCCGTTTGATCACTTTTTACTCAAGAGGAAGTCGAATGCCTTGCATTGAAAATACATAACAAAGTATCAAAATTCTACCAAAATAACCAATAAACTATAACTAAGAATAGGGTAAAATATATGGTATAATATGTACTCATCAAATACTCCCAAACTTAGCTTTTTGCCTGTCCTCTAGCAAAACAAAACTCAAAAATAAAAAATAAAAACTAACAAACTAAAAACTTTTTGCCTGTCCTCTAGCAAAACAAAACTTAAAAACAAAATAATAAAAACTAACAAACTAAAAACTTTAACAAAAATTGACTATGGCAATTTTAACAAAAACTGTGCATGACACTGGATCTGTGACATGGCTTTGATGAATGTCCACCTCTGTGTTGCTTGGACCAACAATATTTTAATGAAATATGAGAGTGAGCGAGCGAAAGATAAATGTTGATGAATGCTAAGATAAATGTTGATGAATGGATGACTGATGAATGCATATTTTTGTATCTTTATTGTTTCGTTTATAGAAGAGTAAGGTTTATGTCCCTCTTCTTTTTCATGTATTTTTTATTTCTTTTTCACGTGTTACGAGAAGTTAGGTTTATGTCCTCTAATTTATGTAACTTATTTTATGTTATTAATAAAATTCTCCTCGTACCGTCAAGGTTTTCTGAAAAAATAAAATAAAAAAAGCAATAAGCTACTATATAACGCTTCCCATTTTCAACCAGGGATAAACCTCTCAACATAGAGCAGGAAATCCAACATAGGTTTGAAATTTGATGAATACTTTCCACAACTTTGTATTTTAATTTTTAATTTTAATTCTTTCAGAGTGTTCGTCTTGTAATGTTTGGCAAAGCTAGAACGTCATTCTTCAAGCATAATTCGATGCAAATAAGTTTGTTTGGCTAACATTGATCAACTAGCCATTTGCACTGCATTTTTTATCTAACAAATACGAGAACGCTTTCACATAACATCAATACTATTACATGCTATACCACATTATTAACAATAAGCTTCTATTCACATATACCATTTGCTCGAAGTTTGTTTCTGATCCGACACATATGTGCCACAGCATCATAGATGTTCAATCTTTCTCTAGGCAACTCCGCTGAGCAAGCAACACCAATTTCTAAAACAGAGATTAAACTTTCTATGATTAGGATGCGATTCCTTGCCCTCCCCTCATTAGGATGATTGCTCTCTTGAACAAGAACGGGATCCAAAACCTCTTCCACTTGCTCAGGCAGAGCTGCCTTCACAAAGCTATAAAGGTTTGAAGTTCCCTGAAACATGTCATCGGTCGGTCTTTTTCCTGTAAATATTTCCAACAGGAGGATGCCAAAGCTGTACACATCACCTTGTGTCCACACTTCATGTCCCATGCCATATTCTGCATTCCACAATTCAGAACATTAGATTCTAATTTTCTAGTGAAATGCTAAAAGCTCATTTCATGTTTGAAAATTTTAAAATAAATACTGCACAATTTTAAAATACTAGCTAGGGAAAAATAAACCACCAAGTGTATTTACCTGGAGGAGCATAACCAATAGTTCCCTTGATCCCTAAAGAGCTTGATTGATTTCCCGAAGAATTTTCAGCAGCTTTTGGTAGGAACCTCACCAACCCGAAGTCACCTACATGTGCAACCATGTCCTCATTGAGAAGAATATTGCTGGGTTTGAGGTCGCAATGAACTATTGGCGTCTCACAATGATGATGGAGATAATCCAATGCCATAGCAACATCAATAACAATATTCAACCTCTGAGAAATTGTTAAGCTTCTTGGCCTCTCATTTGTCTCACCAATTGTATGAATTGGATACAGCCATTCCTCCAAGCTCCCGTTAACCATGAACTCATAAATTAAGGCCTTGAAGTCGTGACCGCGATAATCAAAACCAGAACATGCTGAGAGTACCTTGACAAGATTACGGTGTCTAATATTTCTGAAAGCCTCGCACTCAGCAATAAAACTTTTGTAAGCTCCGCGACGAACGAGGTTGAGTACCTTGATGGCAACTGGAGTTTCACGTTGCTCAAGTAGTCCTTTATAAACGGACCCAAAACTACCCATACCGACCAAGTTGGTTGAGGAGAATCCATTTGTTGCCTTTAGAAGACTTTGGTAAGACACCTGGGGAAATTTGTCCGAATCACTTGCAGGTTGACCCTTTTTGTCCCTCCGTGAGCAATAAAGGTACAAAAAGGTTAGTGCAAAAATGACTCCAAGAATCCCACAAACGAGGGAGAGAACCAATTTCATGGTTAAGCTCAATCCTTTCTTTTTTGCATGCTGGAGTTTGCACTTTGGCAAATGAAACTCAGGTATGCCCCCACAAAGCTTGCTATTTCCTTCAACTGATGTCGCCGTTGCATTCTTGAACGCTCCTTTGATCGGCAACATGCCCTCAAAATTGTTATAAGATAGATTCAGAGATTCCAAAAATACAAAACGTTCTAAGAATTCTGGAATTGTGCCTGACAAGTTGTTGTGAGAGAGAGACAATTCTATAAGACCTCTTAGTGAACTCAAAGTTGATGGAATCGTCCCATTAAAGAAATTTCCATCCATGTATAGGTACTCTAATTTTATACAACTAACAAGACTTGTGGGAATTTTACCGAATAACATGTTATCAGAGATATCTAAATACTCTAGATTTATTAAAGTTCCTATGTTCTCTGGCAGGGAGCCTGTAAAATGATTTTGAGGTAAACTCAATACATACAAGTTCAACAGACCAACGATTTCTTGCGATATGATACCGCTAAAAATGTTGGCATCAAGAGATAAGATCCTCAAATTCTGACACTTAATTAAACACGGCAGGATGTTGCCTTGAAGTTTGTTGCCGTCTAAGGATAACTCATTTAGTTGACTTAAATTTCCGAAAGAGGATGGAAGATTGCCACAAAGAGAGTTCACACTCAAATTTAATAGATATAACTTGTGCAGCTTTCCTACACCAGGGGGAATGTGACCTGATAATTGGTTCTCAGACATGAACAAAACCTGTAAGTTAGCCAGATTTGCAATCTCATTCGGGATACTTCCTAATATTTTATTTTGACCTATATAGAAGATTTGAAGAGAAGAAGACAGGTTTCCTATGCATTGAGGTAACGTGCCCCCAAAATTGTTGGTACGCATATTGAGATATTCTAAATGGGTGTCATTGCTCAAATCGCAGAGAAAGGTCAAGTCATCAATTCCCCCACTTCCGAGATGGTTGTCACCAAGGGTTAACCGCTTAAGCTTATGCAAATTTGTCAAAGGAGGGACCTTTCCATGCAGGTGGTTACCTGCCATCCCCAATCTAATTAGATTTGAGGCATTAGATAATGAAACAGGAATAGGTCCACTGAATTGGTTTTCGTTAATGGAAAATAGTTGGAGCCTCGGAATGACCATACCTAAGTTTGAGGGCAGCGTCCCTTGGATTTCATTTATTGTCATAGAAAGGACTGTGAGAGAAGAGAGATTAAAGATTGACGGAGGAAGCATACCCGAAAACCTATTTACATCGAAAGCAAGAAAGCTAAGATTGGTCATTCGGCCAAAAATATCAGGGACAGTGCCACTCAAATTATTAGAAGATGCGGAGAACTGTTCAAGAGATGATAAGTTTCTAAAAGAAGGAGGGACTCCCCCTGTAAAGTGGTTAAAGTGTATGCGAAAATATCTTAACTTTGACAGGAGGCCAAGCTCATTCGGAATTTTTCCCATCAGCACATTGAAACCAACAGCGAGCCTGAGGAGCTGAGAGCAACGCGACAAGTTGGTAGGAATTTCTCCACTCAGTGAATTGTTGTTTAACCATAGGTGTTGCAATCTGTGCAGGCGGCTGAATTCTGGAGGAATTTCATGGCCTAAGCTGTTGTTTTGGAGATCAATGACTCTCAAAAAACTCAAGTTCCCAACATGCGGCGATATAGATCCTCCAAGTTTCAAGGACCACAGGCTCAAGCTTGTGACCCTCTTATGACGACGACCACATGTAACGCCATGCCAAGAGCAAAAGTGGATGGTTTCATTCCATGAAGTCAGGACTTGAAAAGGGTCATGAGTTATGCTAGCCTTGATTTCAAGCAAAGCGAGTCTATCTGTCTCATTTCCCGGAAGGGCGAAACAAGGAAGGCAAGAGTGAAGAATGAAAGCATGCATTAAAAAGGATGACAAAAACACTGCAGAAATGGAGTTGTAAAACCCCATCCCCATCATGATGATATTTGTTTTGTGCGGAAGTTAAAACTCAATTTATAAAAGAGTATAGCAGGACTGATGGTTTATCTAGCAGCTTTAGCAGAATCCAATTTATAATCATAACCAGAGTGCTCTGTACCCATGCAGTGGATCTACAGCCACCGACATCGTAGTCGATGAGGGATGGTTTGCATTGACCTGACAAAAACAATATCTCTCTTTACTTTTTAACTTAATTTTATGAATAAATTCAATTTACATCTAATTCTGTGAACTAATATTAGGAATATTTCACTATTTTGAAAATTACTGTATTCATTTTTCTTTAATTTTTTTTTTAACGAACGATATTATCTACACTAAGGGGTGGAGAGTGGGCTAAGCCTGACAATGTGCTATTAATAATGTGGTTTTAAATTCACCTTTGGTGAAAATTGAATATAAGACTTCTCACTTCAAGTGAAGAGGAATGTCTCTAGATTGTAAAATGACATTCATTCTTTAACTTAAAACAAATGAAGAAAAATAAGAGAGATATTGGTTTTGTGTGAAATTTTCTCTTTGATTATAAACAATATGACACAGTGACTTGCTTGATTTTTTATTTTTATATTTATAGGACATGGTGACTTGCTTGATGAATGTGTTCTTGCTGAGAAAATTTTATGGATATCAAAAATACAAGTTATATGATGTATTATTCTACGTATTATAATAAAGTTAGGCGACAATGTTGACGTATGTCACTTTTTGGGTATATTAATAAAATAACAAATTTACGTTTTATATTTAAGTAAAATAATAACCATAATCATGTCCGGATACATCAAACATTGCTCATTCTTGTTCATCGATAGTATGCAAAAAAAAAAAAATTAAAAAAAAAAAATATATATATATATATATTTATCTTTGGTTTTGTACAATGACAATTGCTAATTTTGGTGTAGTGTTGTGTCATTTATTTATGCCAACAAATAGTGTAGGTCTTCCGACTCCTCTCCTTCCGGATTGGTCGTGTTTGCGTCTCGTGATAGGATTGAGGATATACACAAAAGATTACGGGTAATGTTAAGAAGATTAAATTTGTAGATAAAATTTACAAACTAAATAATGTGTCATTAGTAAGAATCATCGCGTTTATCAAAGCTTAAGTCATAATTTAATTATCAACTTTCATATCATTTAGTTTACAAAATTTTATTTACAAATTTTATTTTACTAACATTATCCAAAAAACAAGTAATGCAAACTTTACCACGCCAGTAGAGAAAAGAAAAAATAAATAAAAAAAGCTCCCCCACTCTACGTTATAAGAGAAGATAAAGGTTTTAAGTCATAATTACGGTCACTTGATACCATTAGTGTATAATTTAGTAGTACTTTTATATGTTTGTAAGATTTCTTAAATGAAATCCAACGTTAAGGGGATCAGCTTTTGTGCATCTCTAGCATTGGACAGTGCCGTGGTAGACTGGTAGATATAGCTGGCATTCATCAATTATTACTCAATGATTTAAATGATTCTCTTCAACGGTTCCAATTTCTCGATCCTAAAGTTCCAAACATAAAAATCGAAAATAGATCTGATTCTGAATGAAAGGCCCTTTTCGTGGCTGGCCTCCAGCTAGCCTACAAAAGTCGACCACATTTGGAAAAGTTGCACATTGCAATAATTTGTAAAGTTGTACTATGGCATCGTAATGATTTGATCGTAATGATTTGGAAAGTTGCATCTTAAGGTGGAGACAAAAATGGCTATTGTACAAAGCTGCGTTTTCATTTTGGTCAGCATTCACATGAAATGTTTTTTTTTGGGTGTCTTTTGATAATGTAACATTTCAAAAAAATACTGTTGCACTTCAATTATATTAGACACCCACATAAGTCTTGAACGGTCAAGGTATGCTTTAAAAGAAATGAATTATTATCGAGCTATATTATTAGAAATACCAAAAACACTATTCACTTTTTGTGTTGGCTTTATATATAGATTACTAGCCTACCAACTTGAAATAAGTGTTGAAAGATAGCGACTACATTGTTTTGATTCTATTTTCTTGCTTAGCTTACAAGTTAAGTTGGAAAAAGTGTGTGCTACTAGACTTTGCGATGGTCAAACTGTTAGCTTTATAAGGTTATACAATTAAAACACAAACGTATGAGTGACAAATCTGATTCCAGTTGTAACCATGGTACTCGAGTAAGGAAGGAGAAAGGGCACAGCGACACCAATGTCTTCTACAAACTCCTAGCATAATACAACTACTCCACGGGAAGCATTATGTTGTGTGTTCTAAGGCTTATAGGGACCGGTGTTTTTATATAGGCTAAAAGTTAGGGTTTCCATCCATAAAGGAAACCTAAACTTACTTTCTTAGCCTCCAAGTCAAGTATCATAATCATATTCAATTAAGGATTCCATCAATCCTATTTCCAATATAAGACACCTTATATAGGATTGATATCTTTAAGAGATCAAATCACAATCAACATTATTCTCCAATATTACATTCCTATTACATGTAGTAGACCACTTAAAGGTTGATTTATATTGGATAAATCCAACACAAATTAGAGTTGGAAATTGCCATCTAAATAGTTTTAGCAGTTTGGATTTCAAATTAGAAATATTTTTTCAAAATATCAAACTGATGCAAGGTGCAACGACTAAAAACAAAATAAAATGAAAAGAAAAATTGATATGCAGAGTTAATTATTTCCTAGTGCAAGGAGAGTCCTGAAAACCCCAAAACCCCAAAACCCCATCTCTAGTACCAACCTACAACATAGACAACCAGAAGAACAAAGTTGAACAATCTCACAAACAAAAAGGCACAAACTAAGAAAGAAATCTCTTTGCATATTTCATTCATTCAAAAAAGGTCTAACATCCCCACCTTCCAGCAAGAAGTAGGTTTTATCACCAACTTGTAACTTACATTCAAAATTTAAAAGGGCAATAAACTTAATAGCATTGAAAATTGAAAATTACATAAAGAAAGACTATTATCAGCAATAAAAACGTCATGGCTGTTATGATCAGCCAAAAAAATGCCCTAAGCTGTTATTGAGTTTATTAAGTAGTACTTAATAATGTTAAGCATTCAATTTATCCCAACGATCCATAAATGAACTAGCCATCATATATGCATCATCCTCTCTGGGTTGGAGAAAATTCGCCTTCGAATTTGCCTCTCTAGTATCTTCGTTGTCCACTTTGAATGGAATGAGATGTTTCACATTGAACACATTAGAAGTATGAATATGGCTAGGCAACTTTAGGTGATAAGCATTGAGGTTAATCTTTTCAAGAATTTCATATGGCCCAATCTTCCTTGCAAACAGTTTATTGGAATCTCCAGCTGAAAAACGATCATTCGTCAAAACTGCCCAAACAAATTCTCCCACATCAAACTCCACCATTCGCCTTTTGGAATCTGCATGAGCTTTGTATTTCTGACTTGTTTCTTGAAGGTGCTTGTGCGTCATGCTATCGATCTGCTTGACATTATCAATGAAACTTTCATCTTTGCCACTAATTCTTTTCGCGTTTGGTACAGGAGCAAGATCAACTGGTGCTAGTGGAATTAAGCCAAAGACAGTGTAGAAATGATACATTCCGGTGCTGCAATTGACAGAACAATAGTAGGCGAACTCCACAATACATAACTTATGGTCCAATGACTTTAGATGCTAACCAACTAAGCAACGCAAAAGGTCCCCTAATTAGCGATTCACAACTTCAGTTTGCCCATCAGGTTGAGGATGAGGCGTTGCTAAAATTCAATTGTGTATTAGCTAATTTCCGCAGGCTCCTCAAAAAATGACTCAGAAATTTCGTGTTCCGATCAGAAACAATCGATCTTGGTAACTCATGAATTTGATATACATCATGAAAGAATAACTCAGCAACTTTCGAAGCATCCATTGTCTTCTTGCAGACAATAAAGTGAGCCATCTTGGAAAATCGATCCATCACAACAAAAATTGAGACTACACCGCACTGAGTACAAGGCTAACCTGAAACAAAAATTCGACATCGTTCTACAAAACGATATACATATTTGCGCATGGTAAGCCAGAAATAAGAGAAAGAAATAAGCTCAGGGTCTTGTCCCTTCCAACGTGGCCTTCATTATGTAACTCTTGTATGATCCTCAATCTTAAACTAGACTCTGTTATGCAAAGTTGGTTCCCCTTAAAAAGAAACCCATCATGCAACACATATTATGTTATAGTTCCATGCTTAACATCTTTAACAAATGTAGAGAAGAAAGGATTAGTTTTCAATAAATCCTTCAAAAAGTCAAACCCCAATACTTGAATTCTCATCGAGCCAAGTAAACACTTCCTCCGACTCAAAGCACCTGCAACCTGATTTTGCACACCGGCTTTGTGCTTTAAGACGAATGTAAATTCTTGCAACTATGCTGCCCACTTAGCATGCCTCGTTGGCAATTTTTCCTGATTGTTTATATGCTTTAAAGAGTCATGATCGGAGAACATAACAAACTCTTTGTAGATCAGATAGTGCCTCCAATACTGCAATGCTTGCACAATGGCATAGAATTCCAAGTTGTTTGTGGAATAATTCAATGTTGAATGATGAGTCCATATGATGCCATATATTTCACCATATTCTTAGTTATAGTTAGCAAAGTCCTGTTAGAACAATTATTACTTTATTTATAACAATAACTAAACTTTACTTTCTTTTTTTTAGAACAAAAAAAAAAAAAAAGGAACTCAAATGAAAGCAAGTGCTTCAATCTCACCCCCAAAAATCATGTTGGTGTGAATGTGCTAATTGTCAAAGGATAACTCATGAATTAGTGCCTAAACAACAATAAATAGAAAATACTCTACCGTGGGGTTCATCTCCACCATGTTCATTTGTTCTAACGTTTAAAATAATATATGAATACAAACTTAAAAAGAATGAAAAAATTTAGTATACTTAAAAATTAAAAATCTAAATATTTTACTTTCCCACCTCAAACTTAAATCACACATTGTTCTCAAGATGCGGAAAAAATAAAGAAAGAAAACAAAAATATTAAAACCTTAAAAACCGAAAAATAGCTAACAAAGACAAAGAAAATAAACTAGGGAATAGAAATAGAAAAAAGAAACAATGAAAGAAAGTATAAAATAACAAAGGAAGAGATATAGCTGGCATTCATCAAT